CTGCCACTCTGCCCTCTGGAGAGAGTGAGGATTCCTTACCACAAAAACGGACCCCCATAATCAATGCTACACAGATCTCCAACCTTTTACAGGCCTTATCATTGCCCAGGGAGGTTGCAGTCATACACTGCCAAGGACACCGGGCCCAGCATAATGCTGTGTCCCAGGGCAATGCATGGGCAGATACAGCAGCAAGATCTTTAATGCCAAGTTGGCCCCTACCCCTGTTCTCTCCCTTACCATGGCCACACAGCCTGTATACTCACCATCAGAAAAACAGGCCCTCATACTGAAAAGGGGAACAGAATCTAATCAGGGCTGGATCTTCCTAAATAATAGAATCACCCTTCCTTGGGAACAGGCCCCTAAAATTATTGCTGAAATCCACCAATCCTTACATATGGGGCCTAAGGCGTTACACCGCTTTGTACAGCCCCTCTTTTTCTCACCAGGTCTGCAACAAACAGTTGAGCAGGTACACAAGGCATGTGTTACTTGCTCTAAGGTCTCGCCTCAGGGAGGCTTAAAGCCACAGTTTCCTACCCACCAAATGCGTGGCAACCTACCGGCCCAAGACTGGCAAATTGACTTCACTCATATGCCCACTCACAAAAAGCTCAGCTACCTCCTAACTTTCGTAGATACCTTTTCAGGTTAGATTGAAGCCTTCCCCACCTCCCGGAAGACAGCAGACATGAGGCCTCCCTACTTACTCAAGAAATCATCCCTCGCTTCGGCCTACCTGCCACCATCCAGTTGGACAATAGTCCAGCATTTACGGCCCAAGTAGTCCAGCTAGTTGCCAAGTCCCTCAACGTCTCCTGGAAACTACACATCCCTTACCATCCTCAGTCATTGGGTAAAGTTGAACGGGCCCATGGCATCCTCAAAGACCATTTGGTCAAACTTGCTATTGAGGACCAGAGGACTCCAACCCAGCGGCGCCTCTCCAACCAGGCGACATCATTCTCCTCTGAGAACTCAAACCAGGATCCTTGCAATCCAGGTGGTCGGGACCCCACATTGTTATCCAAACCACCCCCATGGCAGCCAAACTCCTGGGTCACACTCCGTGGTACCATGTGTCCCGCCTCAAACTGGTCCCCCAAAAGGATCAGTGGAAATCCGAACCCCTGGGCCCCACTCGCCTCCACCTCACCTGTGGCCCTGATTCGTTGCCCCCTAACCCTTCAGAGCCTCCTCCTGACAGTCCTTCTGATATCTCCTCTTGAGGCCAACTCATATGTTTGGCGCTTCTACATCCAGGAATCCTGGACTGAGGGTCCCACCACCAGGACCCATTACCTTGCACAGGCAAACTGCCAAACAGGCAGATGTCAGTCTACTGTCTCCATCCTCATCCCACATGGTAAAAGTGTCATACTGGGTCGTGATCATGGGTTTCACTTTTGGAACAGGCTGTGTTTTCTATATGACCAAACCAAGGACTGCTGTCATTGGTGGACCACCACCTGCAGGGGATGCCCATACAACTCTTGTGTTATTCACAAGCCACAGCCTCCAAGCCGTCCCAACAGCATGCTCACTCCTTCAGCAGTGGTTCCTTAGCCCTCAACATCCACGACCCCTGGCACAGCCGTTGGGATGCAGGAGTGTCTGGTAAAGTCTATTAAGATTACACCTGGAGCCACCCTCAGGGAACATGGCTAATATTCCAGTCCTATACCTGGAATATTCGTCTCTGAAACAATAGAACAGCTCAGTTCTGTAAGCCATACAATCCTGCAAAATGAAGCCATCCTAACTAACCAATTCAAATCCTCAGATAACACCTTTCAGTCTTTCTCTTGGTTGACTCTAGTATAGCAGGGAGCCAACATGATAAATTTAACTAAAGCCATAAATATCACCAACTGCTTATTATGTGCCTCTCTCAGCAACCCCCCCTTAGCTGCAGTTCCCCTCAGGTCTAGGTTCAATCTGTCACAATCATCTACGGAACCTGGCACCATCTTAACAGATATCCCCTTGTTCCAAGTACACCCTCAAAATTTCTCTCTGCTATGAGACAGCCAGCAGCTCCAGTCCCAGCTGCAACACCAGAGTAAAGGTAAAATCCTCCCTCTATGCGCCACCAGGAGGATATTTCTGGTGTAATGGAACCTTAATTAAAGTTATTAATGCCTCCTTCCCTTTCCCTTGTGCACCTGTCACCTTGGTCCTGCAGTTAGAGGTGTACGGACAGGCCGAACTTCTATTCCTCCTTCCACCCTCCTCTAATCACCGAGATAGACAAACGGTCTTCCTCCCAATGGTTGTTGGTCTCTCTCTAGCATCCTCTCTGGTGGCAGCCGGGCTGGGTAGAGCGCCCTAGGCTACAGTGTCACCTCAGCCGCTCAACTAAAGGACAAGCTTCGCGTGGCTATCGAAGCACTGGCCACCTCCCTGGCCTCCCTCCAGTGACAAATCACGTCACTGGCCCAGGTAACTCTCCAGAACCAGTCGGCCCTTGACCTGCTGATAGCAGAAAAGGGAGGTACCTGTCTGTTTCTTCAGGAGCAGTGCTGCCATTACATCAGTGAAACAGGCCTTGTAGAAGAAAATGTCAACACTCTCTATCACCTCCGAGAGGACCTCCGCAAGAAGCAGAATGCATCAGTCTTGCCTCTTAACTGGTGGCAATCCCCCATGCTAACCTGGCTAACCCCTATTATCACTCCCATCATCGTAGTTTGTCTGCTGTTAATGCTAGCCCCTATTTTCCTCACGTTTTTACAGGCCTGAATGAAAGAAATTTCCAGGGTGGCCATAAACCAGATGCTACTTCACCCCTATGTCCGACTCCCAACCAAGGCACCAGCCAACTGACCCTTCTCCCTCCACCCTGCCCCTATTCAGCAGGAAGTAGCCAGAAAGAAGTGGTGTCCTATATCATCAAAAGGGTCAGAATGTAAGGCCGGTTGGCTTGCCGGGAGGCCAGACACACCCACCTCTGCATTCAGCACCTGACTCTGCACCCAGCATCAGGCTCTGCACTCGGCACCTAGCTCTGCCACATGGCTCCCCTGGAAGGCTCTGGCTGATGCAACCCTGGCCAGCTCTCACACCGGAAAACCCACCCAACAACCCAACAACCAGTGGTGGCCCACCCTGTCCCAATCCCGCTCCCCTGGAGCCAATCAGAGCACCCAGCTGTTGCTCATTCCTCATAGCCCTAAAAACCCCCCACCCCAGGAAGTCAGCGTGACTTCTCTGGCCCCCTTTCCCCGGACCATAGAACCTCACCCGGGAGCTGAATAAATTCGCATTTAATTTTCTTATACTGGCCTCAGTTTCCTCATTCTAAACTTGGCAATAACCCTTACACAGGCAAGTGCTCTTTCTACCACACTGCACTTGCTCTGGTACCTCTGTAGAGTTTTCAGTATTTAGCAAAACAGAATAAAGTGCTTAAAACACTCATTTTAAGTAAAGAGTAAAGTGGTCCTAAATGTCCTTCAAACTCTTCTGAGAGTTCATCAGTGGCTTACATTGATCAAAACTGTATGGAATATTTTTTTTAAATATACAAGGGCTAATGTACCAATTTGAGGATGTTAGGATTTAATGCTGTGAACAACACAATTTGTATTTTGTTTTGCCAGCATTGAAGCAGAATATTTACAGGGGTTATGAATGTGAATTAACAAGTGAGCTAACAGATGTATTGCTGGCATTTTCTGTAAAAGTAAAATGACATGGAAGCCAATGTGGCTCATGTGACCTATGTCTACCTAAATAAAAAGTATTTATATTTAAAATGAACTCGACCATTTTTGAGAGCTATCTTAAAAATATGAGTATTTTGGGTAAGTGACTTAAGTCAACTGGGCATTTTATTTTTTTCTCATTTTCAGTAAAGAAATGATAACATATTTGTGAGTCAAAAGATGTGGACTAGGTCATTAACTTCCCATTTCTGGATATAAATGAATCAAAGGAGTTGAAACAGATGATTTCTAAAATCCCTTCTAGTTTTCAAATGAAGTGACTCCTAATTAAGCACTACAAAAATGTCAGCTCTTTAAAAATATCTGCAATGAAAAAAAGAGAATCAATGGGAAGAAGGGAGAGATGGCCCCTTAACCATTGTAGAAATTAGCCTTCACCAAAGGGCTCAACATTTAACATTAATTAAAGTCACAAATGAATATGGCTGTAAGAAATTTCAAAATCAAATCTGCACCTAGGATTTACAACATGACTAGTTAGTATTAGATTTTTCCTGGGCTACCCATAAGCCTTGGGATGTTCTATTTTAATGTAGTTAGTGGTGCTAGGGACTGGGCTAGTAAAATATCCAGGTCAGAAGTCACACCTGCAGGCCTGCCCATGCCCGGCCAACCAGGTTCTTATTCCAACTCCCACTAGGCATAAACATCTGCCTGCAACATGAACTGCAATGTTGAATATGTTCAGCTATGAAAAATTCTAATCTCTGATTAATATGATTCAAAGGTTACAGATTGCCCTTTAACAGATTAAACACCACATGATACACTGTCTGACCCTTGGCAGAAGTCCCCCAAATAGCAGTTTTTTGTTTTTGTTTTTTTTTGAGATGAAGTTTCACTCTTGTTGCCCAAGCTGGAGTACAATGGCATGATCTTGGCTCACTGCAAGCTCTGCCTCCTGGGTTAAAGTGATTATCCTGCCTCAGCCTCCCCAGTAGCTGGGATTACAGGCATGTGCCACCACACCTGGCTAATTTTGTATTTTTAGTAGAAATGGGGTTTCTCCATGACGGTCTGGCTGGTCTTGAACCTCAGGTGATCCACCTGCCTCAGCCTCCCAAAGTGCTGGGATTACAGGAGTGAGCCACTGCACCTGGCCCCAAATAGCAGTTCTGATGTGAAAATTAAAAATAACCTACTTACGAGCATGTAAGTCTAATGCTGTTGGTTGAACCTATATAAATTATACCTTTAAAACACCTACACAACTTAGGCCATCTCCAGCTCTGACTGACTGCAATTAAACAGTAACACTGCTTGTCTTACCTTCTGTAGGGTGAATGGCATCCAAGAAGAGTTGCTTGTTTGACCATTTATCCCCACTTCCTAAAAACGACAGGAAAGGAAAGAAAAGTGAAACTCTACTCTTAGTAGATACTCATGCTACAAAAACAAGACGATACACAAACTAACTTGAAACATCACACAAATGAATTTCAATTATTTAATTCTTAAAATGGTATTTGTTAGCTAAAATAATGAGGCTGCACAGAAAATGGATTAAAAACAAAATTTTTGTCATTTATGAAATACAGCATTGGATTATTTCTGCAACTTTAATCGAAGTAATCTGAAGATCAATAAAAGAGAATGAAAAAAGCTGACGTTTTCACCTAATGAATCACATTTCTTTACTGGAAGCAGAGGAAAAAAATAGTATCAATATACAAAACAAAATCAAGCGGAAGTGGAAGTGAAAAGAAAGCCCAAATTAAGTAAAAGGCTACATACAGGAACACACAGGCACACATGTCCACATACAGGAGACAGCTGCATTGAAAGCCTCATTCGAGAAACACGGAATGCTTCACATCTGGCCATGCAAGAAGGATGCAAATGGGCACCGGGCGAGGTGGTTTATGGCAGTCACAACACCAGCATGCAGGGAGGTACTCAAGAACGCCCGGCCCGCAGAATATGTGGCTGCACTGAGCCAGATGGGAAGACATATCTTCTTTGTGAAAGAAGAATAGGAGTCCTACACTCTGGGAAGGAAGATCTTAAGATGAGCCCTGAAGAGGTTTAAAGGCTCATTAAGATCATACCAATGAGACAGACGTTCCCAGTAAAGAGGCGACAGAGTGCAATCAGTCTCTACTGCCTTTTCAGATAACAGGCCTGTGACTGAAGGAGGCGGGAAGAAGAGGCTGGCAAATGATAAGGGGAAAAAAGAGACAGGTTACAACTTAAGAGTAGAGAAAAGGGTCCACAAGAATCCTCAAGTGTCAGAGGAAGTACAGAAACGGTGGCACTTTCACATGAATATGAAACTGTAAGATTTCGTGAAGTAGGAAAATGTGGTCATGGTATGAAGGGCTGCTAAGCATGGGAAAACCAAGAATAGTCAAAGAAAATAAATGGATAAGTGGTCAAGAAGCCTGAATTGCAAAAGGCACCAAATACAGATGAGAAGAGGCAATTTAAGGATTCATATGGGGCTCGGAAAATAGAGACAAATATGGATTTGTATAGGCACCCGAGTGAAGATTTGCAATTAGCTGCAGAGACCAGAAAGAATGAAAACAGCACGTCAGGAGCTGATGGCACTGAAGCAAGCACAGGGGAAGACAGGCAGTGCGTGGAAGCGCTACTCAAAGACGAATCACAGTGGAGGTGACCAAGAACTCTTCATGGAGGACGGAGGGCACCAATACCTTTTTCCGGAACATTAGGCTTCTCCTTTTTGTGCTTATATTTGCTGACAATTTTGTGGAATAAGTTCTTTTTCTGAGACTGGAAAGGACCTACAGACAATATTAATATAGATATATTTTAAATTCACAATGTTTCATAAAACAATATTGTGTATTTTTAAACAATTACGCCCTCCTCCCTCCCGTGGAATAAGCAAACTGAGTTGCAAGAAGTGTCATCTTGCATCTTCACTTATTTAACTGGTGCTCAGCCCCCTTCTTTAGGCTATTTAAACCAGTGAGATTTTCCTTAGAAACGTACTGGGCAAAGCCTCCACTAAGGCTGGGACTCCCTAAGCAGAAACTTCAGATTCAGTGAGTAGAAACAGACTACAACCAATAAGAGCAGAGTGGCCAGAGTCTGCCATAGAGAAAAGATTTTACTTTAGACTCCTAAATACCATGAAGAAAAGGATGGCATATGTGTTTTATCTCTCCAAAGAAACGGATTTTCACAATGAGGATAGCACTTTCAGGACAGCAGTTGACCTGACAGCATTAGATAGACTTCTGGCCTTTTCTCAGGACAATCAGGGTAAAAAAAAGTGACTTAAAAATAGAAAGTATTTGCCAAAAGACTTTATTCTGGGTGGAAGCGGGTGATGTTTCAGATTCTTAGTTTTCTCAGATAAAGAAACAGAATTGAGATTTTTTTTCCAGTTAACAATCAGAAATACCAACAACAGCCGTGACTTCCCCAAAGCCCCTGTGGCATCTCTCTACCTACCAACAGTTGTAACTCCATGCTCTGCCTTCTGTCCGCCGGTGAACCATCTTACACTCCCCTCTGGTCAGCTCCTCCATAGCACCACCCTCCCTGTCCAGCTCACCACCATCATTTCTCCCTCTTGAATGGGTCATTCAATCAGTATACAAACATAATTTCTTTGAACTTAAGAAGGAAAAAGGTGGCTTCTAACCAAACCTCCCTCACCTCAGTTACTGCCTTAGTTCTTCATTCCCCGTGTAGCAGAAAAGTCCACAGAAGGATTGCCTATGCTGTTCCCAGTTTCTCTCCTTCCATTCTCTCTCTCTTTTTTTTTTTTTTTTTTTTTTTGAGACAGGGTCTCACTCTGTCACCCAGACTGGGGTGTAGTGGCATGATCTCAGCTCACTGCAACCTCCACCTCCTTGGCTCAAGCAATCCTCCCGCCTTAGCCTCCTGAGTAACTAGGACTACAGCTGTGCATTACCACGCCTGGCTAATTTATTGTCTTTTTTTGCTAGAGTTGGGGTTTCGCCATGTTGCCCAGGATGGGCTCAAGCAATACACCCACCCTGCCTCCTAAAGTGCTGGGATTACAGGTACGAGCCACTGTGCCCAGCCCTATTCGGTCTTAAACTCACTCCAACTACCTTTCTGCCTTGCCACTCCTAAACAACTGCTCTTCACGGGGTCATCTGGGACTCCCATGCTGTGGGTCCTTATTGCACCAGGCTGTTCCTGTAGCTTCTGACCACTACAGCCATACCCTCTGCCTTGAATGCCTCCTTCATTGGGCTTCTAGGATACCACCTTCTCTTATTTTCTCTTCTCCATGACTGATCTTTCCCTCTGCTTACTCTTTTCCCTGACTTCTTAATTTTGGAAAGCTCTGGGCTTGGTCCTTGTCCTCTTCTCTATTCTCATTCATATGGTGTTTACCTCTAGTCTCAGGGCTTTAACATAAAATAAAACTAAATTAATAAAATAAATACCAGCTATAGGTTGAAGACTAAAAAATGCATCACCCCAGCCAGACCTCTTCTATTGTGTGTATATGAAAAGCTAGCAATCTTATACTGTCTTACAAGGACTTAAGAGATCCAGAGCTCCATTACCTCCATAATCTCATATCCTGCTGCTGCTCTCATTCAAGTCTCTCTAGCTGCACAGTCCTCCTGGAAGTCCCTTGCACATGTAGTCTCAGTGTTCCTGACTTTAGGGTCTCTGAACCAGCCATTACCCTGCCTAGAAAATGTTCTTCCCCATGATGTCCACATGGCTAACTTCCTGACCTCCTTCAAGGCTTTGCTTAACTATCTTCAGACCACTCTCCATAAAAAAGCAAGCCAACCCCACGCCCATCACGTGATCTCCCTTTCCCTCACACACCTATTAACTGATTTTTAAAAACAGCTTTGTTGAAATATAATTAACATACCACACAATTCACCCATTTACAGTATACAACTTGTGATTATATTCAGCTATTTGCAACTGCTACCAATTTTTGAACATTTCATCACCTCAAAAATAAATTCTAAACCCTTTTAGTATTACCCCTTCTATACCTGTATTCTGCCTCTATCTAAGCAACCTCAAATCTCCTTTCTGTCTCTATAGATTTGCCTATTCTGGAAATTTAATATAAATAGAATCATATTATGATGTCATTTTTGACTTAGCATGTTTCCAAGGCTCTTCCATGCTATAGCAGGTATCAGAGCTGAATAATATTCCACTTAGTGAATTTAACACATTTTGTTTATTCATTCAACAGTTGGTGGACACCTGGATTATTTCCACCTTTTGACTATTATGAATAACACTGTCATAAACATTCAAGTATAAGCTTCTGTGTGGACATATAGGCGTTCATTTCTGTAGGGCATATAACCTAGAAATGGACTTGTTGGGTCATGTGGTAACTCTATGTTTAGCTTTTTGAGGACCTACTAGACTACTGAAGAAAGCAGCTGCACAATTTCGCATTCCCACTGGCAATGTATAAGGGTTTCAATTTCTCTACATCTTTGTCAACATTTGTTGTTATCTGTCTTTTTTTATTACGGCCATCCTAAGGATGTGAAATGGTATCTTTCCCACTGTGGCTTTGCTATGCATTTCCCTGATGACTGACGAGGTCAACTGTGTTTTCACATACTTATTGGCCATGTACTTACCTTCTTTGGATAAGTATCTTTTCAATCACTTGCCCATTTTTATGAGCTGTCTTTTTTACTGCCGAGTTGTAAATGTTCCTTATACAGTCTACATAAAAGTTTCTTATCAGATATGTGATTTGCAAATATTTTCTCCCATTCTGTGGGATGTCTTTTCACTTTCTTGGCAGTGTTCTTTGAAGCACAGAAGATTTAAATTTTCATACAGTCCAATTTATCTTTTTCGTCTTTTGTTGCTTGGGCTTTGGTATCGTATTTGAGGATTCACTGCCGAATCTGAGGTTATAAAGATTTGCCCATTTGCTTGGAAAGTTCTATTGTTTTAGCTTTAACATTTAAGTCTTTGATCTATTTGAAGTTCAATTTTGTATATTATATGAGTAAGTATATACCTTTATTTGGATGCAGATACCTAGTTGATACAGCCTCACTTTCTGGAAAGACTATAGTGTCCTCACTGGATATTCTTGGCACCTTGGTGAAAATTAGTTGACCAAACATGTGCAGGTTTATTCCTGGACTACCAATTCTATTCCACTGACCTACATGTCTATCTTTATTCGCGTACAACACTCCCTTGATTACTGTTGTTTGGTAATTAGTTTTGAAATCAACTGCTACTTTTTTCTATTTTAGGATTGTTTTGGCTCTTCTGAATTTCTTGCAATTCCACATGAATTTTAGGCTTGTTTGTCAATTTCTACAAAGAAGTCAGCTGGAATTCTAAGAGGGGTTGGGTTGAATCTGTAGATCAGTTTGGGGGAGTGGTTCCATCTTAACAATAATAGGCCCTCCGATCCATGAACATGGAATGGTTTTCCATTAATTTCTATCTTTCCATTGTTTCAACAATGTTTTGTAGTTTTCATTATATTGTACTTCTTTTGTTGGTTAAATTTATTTCTAAGTACTTTATTATTTTTGGTGCTATTGTAAATGGAATTATGTTCCTAATCTCATTTTTAGATTGTTCAAGTTTATCAAGACAGAACTAAGTTTTATCTAATGATCTTATAACCTGCAGCTGTACTAAACTCATTTATCAGCTGTAATAGTTTTTTGGTGGATTCCTTAGGATTTTCTATATATGAGGTCATGTTATCTGAGAATAAAGATAATTTTACTTCTTCCTTTCTCACCTAGATACCTTTTATTTCTATTTCTTACCTAAGTGCCTTGGCTAGAACCTCCAGTACAATGCTGACCAGAAGTAGTGAGCGTGGACATTCTGTATTGTCCCTTTTCCTAGGGGGAAAGAATCCAATACTTTTATCATTAAGTATCATGTTAGCTGTGTATTTTTATAGATGCCTTTTATAAGGCTGAGGAAGTTCCCTTTTAATCCTAGTTTGTTGCATTTTTTTAAACCATAAAAAGGCATTGACTTTTATCAAATGCTTTTCCTAAATCTATTGAGATAATCAAGTGTTTTTTGTTTTGTATTCTATCAGTAGGGTATGTTACACTAATTGGTTTTTGAATATTAAAGCAAACTTGCAGTCCTGGGGTAAAATCCCATTTAGTCATGAAGTATAATTCTTATATGTTGCTGAATTTGGTTTGCTAGTGCTTTGCTGAGGATTTCTGTGTTCATATTTGCAAGAGATATTGGTCTGCAGTTTTCATTTCTTGTGATGTCTTTGTCTTGTGAATGTCTTGAACATCTTTGACATTAAAGCAATGCAGCCCTCACAGAAGGAACTGGGAAGTGTTCACTTTTCTTGTACTTTTTGGATTCACTTGTGAAAAATTGGTATCAAGTCTTCCTTAAACGTTTTGTAGAATACAGTGGTGATGTCATCTGGGCCTGGGCTTTATTATTTTTTTCCAGGTACTTTAAAAATTACTAGTTCAATGTCTTTACTAGTTATACATCTATACAGATTATCTATTTCTTAAGTCAGTTTCAGTAGTTTCTGTCTCTCCAGGAATTGTTTATTTCATACATGCCATCTAAACTATTGGCTTTAGTTGTTCATAGTACTGTTTACAATCCTTCTCATTTTATAGTCAGTAGTAATGTCTTTTATTTCATCTCTGATACTAGTAATTTGAGTCTTCTCTTTTTTTCTTGGTCAATCTAGCTAAAATTTTCTCAATTTTGTTATTTTCAGAAGGCTACTTTTCGGTTTCATTGATTTTTCTCTAGTGTTTTAATATAATTT